ATAAATCCTTTTCTGCTAAATATTTCTAGATCATCATATGTAAATGTTTAACACTTAATTTATCTCTGTATAGATGGAATCTCACCTTCGTATATCTTATTTTAAAACTAAAATCTTGAGAATTTAACCTTATCAATATAAGATCTATCATGCTTTTAGAGTGTTCATGCAAAGCTCTTACTAAACTAATCAATGGTAAACTCCTAAATATATTATCCAAACATAACGTCCTTAAAGGAATAACTTCACATGTTTACCTTGTCACAGCACATTTAAACTAATTCACATTTTTAATAATATTAAATACGATATTTCTTTTTACAAAAATAACTTGTGAGTCCTGTTTCAAGATATGTCAAAAGTATATAATTACATTAATATTACTATATTAATTTGGATTTTAGGTCATCTTCAAATTCTTGCATCATTTGTTAGATTTGTAATGTCCATTTTTATATTTTATTACAACTAAATTTTTATAGCTCACGGTAATACTGATCAATACTTAATCCTATCAGGTATAGATCAAGAAGAAATTATCTTACCAATTTTGTGATACATTTACTATGACCCTCTTCTATACTTTGTTCAAAATTTATCATTTAATTACAAACAACATATATTTTGAAGAGAAGACTTTATTAAATATAATACACAATATTTTTCTAATTGTATTCCTACCTTAGCATATATAGATAATACACTTTAGATGGCAGACTTCAGAGCTAATTTATAAAATATTATGATAATAGCAGATTCATTTTATTTCTTAAATAATATCTAAGATAATTAGGATAAGTCAATCTTAATGATCAACAGTAAAGATTCAAGCTTAATGAATTTCAAATTCAATGTAAAGATATCTGACTTTTGTCTCTAGCTCATAAAAAATCAACTAGATATCTTGGTATTTGAGTTTTTCTATTCAACAATAACTAATTCATTCTCAATTAGGTCATAGATGAAATCAAAAGAACAAAGATTATTTTTGACAAGAAAAAAATCATTGCAAAATAAATGATGATTATCTTTAATACTGTTATTATACCACATATTCTTTATAAAACTAAACTCACGTTCTTGCCTCAAAAATTTTGTGACAATTTTATGATCACATTCAGAATCTTCTTCAAAAGAAAACTAAATCTTTTCATATTCATGCTATCCTCTATACTTCACTCAACATTTAGCTACAACATATCACATTTATATGACAAGCAAATGCTTGCAAAATCGTCAGACCTACTTAAAATAATTAATAACATTTTATTACTTGGTTTAATGTCAAGATTAAGAAATTTTCAACTTTAATTATTAGAATAGCTATCTCTGTCACTACTTACAAACTGGCTTTATGATGATATTTAACCCTAAAAAGACTGGTAATCAGTCTTTTATTAGCTGCTAAAAGAGATGGTCTTAACTTTAGATAATGTTCAAATAATAATTACATATTTAGACAAATTGAAGGTAATTTATTATCTATTTCAGCAGTTTTTTCTCCAGAAAATATATCAGAAAAATATTTAGAAACTTAGAATACTTTTGATTATATATATTGATCAACTTACAAGATGAAATTAATCTACTCACAGCTTTTGACCTGAACATGATATTTGATATCATATTACATAGTGCTAATTGGTTTTTAAAATTGGAATTCCTCTTATTATATAATAATACTTTAAGACATATAAATCAAAGATGTTCACTTTATAGATCAATTATTAAAGTATAATCAAAACCAGTCAATTTTATTGTATCAAAAATGAATCTATCTTTTATTATTATTTAGTTTAATCATTATATAATCTATATTATTGACAAAGTTATCAAAGTTGAAGGAGCTATAATTTATGCATAACACTATTTAAATAGACAATCTGATTGTTATAAATCACTATCATATCTGTATAATAGATGTTTCTTATTTAACACTTCTGCTTTTATCCCTTATAAATAACAACTTTAGAAATTGAATAGTAAACATATAAGTTGATATATAATGCAATTCAGATAAGTCATCTATTATCAAATTTGATTAGATCGCTATTTTTTGCTAATTCAAGATCTTCTTTAGATCAAAAATGCATAAATGTATACTGTAAGTTTCTGTAATTTGACTTAGCTTTGAGGATTACTCAGGTTGCTACATTAATAGTTTTACCAATAGGTTTTAGTTCTCTACTTGTAGTATCTTTCAGAAGATTTGTGAGCTTTAGCTCTAATTTCATCTGTTGTTAGAGAACTGACATATACTCTAACTATATCTTTAAGGATGAATAGACTCGTATTAGAGTTGAAGAATAATAAATCAGTTTTAGATGCATATAAAATTATTACTTGCTGCCAGAGATTTTTTGTCATCATGGAGCATTTAACAATCAAACTAAATCAGACAAATATTGATCAGATAATCTGTTCTGATATAGAAATAAGAATTTCAGTGATTTTGATCAATAAACTTAAGTTAAATTTAAATAGGATTAATGTAATAAAGGGTTAAATAAAACTGTTTTTATATTAGAAATTTTAGCAGTAATTGCACAGTTAGCATCCTCATGTGTTATAAATCCTAATCAGATAATTTTCAATGTTTTATTTGTAAGACCCTGCTTTATTGATATATTAATGAATGATAGGTAATTGATATCATTGAATAATTCGCAGGCTTTGTTAATTTTTCATAAAAGGATTTATTAGAAAGAAAGGTTTTTACAGCACAATAGATGTAAAAGGTAGTTACGTCTCTAACTCTTTCAAAAGTAATAGTATTTTTGTTGATATTTTTATTATTCAGCATATTCTCAGATGCATCAAAGGCCTGGTCTTCATCTATAGTATTATTGTTATCGGGGTTGATGTTTCACTATCCTTTAATGTTTAGATAATTAGAGGGTTAGTAGTAAATACTTCTTGAGTAGTTGTTCTTTTAGGAATTAAGATAGGTGTGTAATACTCAAAGAGTTTAGCTATTTCAGAAAAAACTGCTTGTATTTGTTGGTCTATATTCATAGTATTAGCTGAAAAAATTGTTGTAAAGGTTAGTATATTTGAAGGACTAGCTATAACTTTATTATTAGATTTAGACAAAATAGTCATAATCTTTTTCTTTGCTGATTGTTCTTTATTATTATTAAGGAAATCAGGATGGCTTCACAAGTTGCAGTTATTATTTTGTGAAAAATTTTGATTTTTTTCTTTTCCTATTTTTTGTGATTTTAGAAAAAGAAAGAAAAGTTCTAGACGTGCAAAAATGATTTTTATTTTATTTTATAAGTGTGACAGTCTTGCATGATCTTTATTAATATTTATAATTATGCAAGAAAATTAAAATAAAACAGAAAATACAAAAATATCTATAAACTACTTTATCAATATCAACCTTATACTTTATCAAACTAAACTATATATTAGAAAAAAAAAGAAAATTAAATTAAACTAAAAACAATTATCAGAAGTTTAGAAAGGCATGATTATTATCAGACCAGAAATTTGATTAGTGAGAACCATAATTGATGGAGGCTGTACATATTTCTAAATTTGCATAAGGTAATGTAGTATAGATAGCAGCAAGAATGGCAATTATTTCAGCTAATGTAAAAGAAGGAGAGTGAAGAATAAGAGTAACATTGAAAGAGAGTAAAGGCCAGTTCTAATTAGTTTATAATCACATGATTCCCATCTGGCAGTTTGAAAAACCTAGTGATATAAAAAATCTTCTATGTAAAATTGTGTATTAATGAATTGATTTTTAGAGTATCTAATAAGTATTTGAACTAGAGATATAAATATTAATAATGTGAAGTTTAGTTTATTTTAAAATTAAAAATTAAGTGAAAGAAAATGCGGTAAAAAAGAAAGAATGGTAAAACATGTGATCAACCAAATGTTTTTTAATGAGAAACTAACTCTAAAGCCTATGCTTTGAGAGGAGATGTTAGTATAAAAAAAGGAAATAAATTTGTCAGAGTAAATAGATTTTAAGAGTGTATATGTGATGGAGATTTAAGATTAGTTTTTTGTAAAGTGATAATATCTAATTTCTGAAGATTGTATAAGTTGAAAAGGATTTGTTATTTTTGTGATAATGTAAAGGAATGAACATTATGAGTAGCTATATTAAGAGCGAATAAAACTGTATATATATTAGTAGGTTATAAGATCATAATTATTTAAAAAATAAATCTAAGGCGGGATCTCTAAATCATCATCTAAAGTATTAATAGCATCAGGTAAATTGAGTTTAGAGATAAGAACTTTGTGACTAGGGTGAGTATTATTATATACTATATTTTGGATGCAAATAACTGCTTTAAAAGTAACATTAAGTTTTTCTACAGTTGTTTTATGTGAGCATTTAATTTGTCATTTTCTTTGTATAATAATGCAATATATTTTTTATGTTCGATAACTCTAGAGTCTGATATTTTAACTTCAGGTTTATAAGTAGTATCAGTTTTCATAACACCTTCTGCTTTAGCAGCTTTGTTAAATTCAGCAGTTTTCTTTGATGTAAGGATGAAAATATTAAGGTGTTTTTCAATTTCATCGAGGTGATACATGAAGAAAGCAAGGTTATTGTTAAAGTAGTAGTGATGGCATCAAGTTTGTTTAAAATCTTTTGAGTATCAATCAATTCATAGGATAGTATTTTAATTGATCTGTATAGAATATCTTTATCATCTATTTGCTTAGACTACGATTTTTTTGTATAAATCAAATTATCTAGAGATGATTTTTTTGAAATATGAGTATTATTAGAAGATGATGGTATGAGTTTTACTTGAGGTTTAACATCTTTAATGCTATTAGCAAATAATTATAGATTATTAAAATCAAATATCATATCTTGATTATTTACTAACATAACTTTAGGATATGATATAGGTGTAGAATAGTTTTTGAATTATGCTAGTTTAAATTATTAATATAGATTTTGTGTTTGTTTATCTTTAAGGTTAAATCGTTTTTTTCTACAATTATAATATTTATGTTAAATGAGTTATGATATAAGTTCTCTTACTTCATATTATAAGAAGTAGCTTTATCAACCCTAAATTCTCCATTTCATTATCTAACCAAATCTTCTCTGAACTTATCTGTTCTTTCCTTTAGCTATGTAGTAAAATTTATAAGAAAACTTTAGATCTAATAAATGATGTTTACCAAAAGAATTTTCTTGTGATACTTCTTGGTAATTTTAATGCTGATCTATCAAAGGCTTCTAATTCTTCAAATCTTCAAACTCAAAGGCTTTTTTCAACTTACTTGATGACTTCCACTTAATTAACAATTTAGATTTAGTAAAAAATCAAAAATCAGCTAGTGAACTCATAATTTATGAAACCAATATTAGACATTCTACTATTGATCACATTTTTATCCACTTTTCACTAGTTTTTGATCTAATTGATCAAGTGATTTTTAAAGTTGACAATGATATATCTGATCATGTTATTGTTTATATTACAATTTTGTTAACATTAATCAACTCTTCATTCATATAACAATTAGCAATTAAAAAATTAGTTTTTCAATACCATGATATGTCTGATGATGACTGAAATGCTTTTAGAGTTTCAGTGAACTAATGATGCAAAAACACTAGATTAAATTTTTTGATACCAAACAATAACTATACTATATACCATCTCAATTCTTATTAGAATCTTTTGCAAAAGTCAATTATTGATACAGCCACTAAAATGATTTTTAATAAATATACTTTTCATCATACTAGAGATCTTAGATCACACATTCTCAAAATGATAAACACATCAATTTAGTCAAAAAGCTTTATAAATTAAGCAATAATTGTATCTTTCATAATATTATTGATCCCAAATAGATTGTTTCATACAAAAAGATATGCGCATTTTTATTATAATTTGTAATTACACTTCTAGATATTGGCTAACCTTCCGTCTAAAATATCAGAACAATTAAGTCATTACTGATTGATCTTTGCAAAATTTTCTCTATAGCAGCTAAACTAAATGAAACTGAATTTAAAACGAAAACAATTAATAAAGCAATTGAATGATGATATGCAAATCTAATTGATGATCAAAAAGCCATATTCAACTCACTATTAAAATAACCTTGTAATACTATTATATTAAATAAATGTATAAATAATCGTAGTCCTAATAAAGAGCTTCTTACAGACCTAAAATATGTATATAAAGAAACTATACATTATTTCTAATAAGTAGTAGAATACAATATTATAATTCATCATTCCTAAAAGTATGAGAACAAGTTTACACTTTAGATAATTTCATTAACCCTGACATATATATTTCTATTATGCAACCTCCTTCAGAAGAAAAATGGTAAAATATCATTAAAGCTTTCTCTAATAATAAAGCTCCTGAACCTTCAAAGATTTCTAATGAAATATTAAAATATCTTAACCCATATTCATCAAAATGCTTCTGAACTATTATTTGCAAATATTTTTCACTCAACTTGTCACTTAGCAGATAGAATCTAGCCTTTGTCTATCTAATTTCTAAACCCAAATCTTAGAAATACAATTTCATAAACACTTATCCTATTATTCTTCTGGAATGCTCATATAAAATACTTACCAAGCAAATCAATGATCAACTTTTAAATATCATGTTTATTAACAATATTCTTAAAGAAAACAACTTTGCTGGCTTACCCTATAAAAGCACTTTCTATATTATTGATAATGTTAAATACGATACCTCATTTCATCACAATAATCTTTAAATTTTATTCTAAGATATGTCAAAAGTATATGACTATGTCATTATTACTATATTAATCAGAGCTTGCAGTCATCTTCATATTTCAGAAACTTTTATTAAATTTTTGTTTTCAATTTTTCTTTCTTATTTTAATCAAATTTTTACTATATATAGTAATACTGATAGTTACTTAATCCTTTCAGAAATTGACTAAAAAGAAATTATTTCTCCTATTCTATGATGTATTTACTATGATCCTCTTTGTGTTTTGTACAAAATTCATCATATGACTATACCTAACATATTAACTGAAAAACAGATATTACAATATGCAATATGCAAAGCTTTTTAAATTATATTCCTACCTTTACTTATATAGATGATATGCTCTGGATGACTGTCTCTAGAACTGACCTTTAAAATATAATGACTATTGCAAATTACTTTTACACATTCAATAGCATTCAAGTCAACTGAGATAAATAATACTAATAATTAATAATAAGAACTCCACTTTCATTAACTTCAAATTCAATGATAAAAATTTCTGAATTCTGCTACTACATTACAAAAAATTCACAAAATATTTAGGAATCTGAGTATCCTTTTTTAATAATAAACAATTCGTTATTAAACAAATTTTTGATGAATTTGTAAAAACAAAAAATATGCTTAACAAGAAAAGTTCACAGTTAAATATATGATTACAATCTTTCATACAGTAGTTATTTTTTGCATACTTTATAAGACTAAACTTATGTTTATATCTCATTTTACCTGCGATACTTTTGACATCTTTTAGAACTTTCTTTAAAAAGAAATTGCATCTTTCAAGATTTGTATCAGCATCTGTTATTTACTCAACCTTTAGATATAACTTAGCATATTTCTATGGTAAATAGTTGCAAGCAAAATCATCTGATCTATTAAAAATAATTAATAATATATCTTTACTTAGTTTGATTTCATGATTATACAACTTATAATTTCAACTATTAGAATAGTTATCATCATCTCCTTTAACTGACTGGCCTTACATTGAAACAAGATCCTTTAAAGACTGGTGATCTGGTTTCTTATCTACTGTAAAACAGATGGATTTAAATTTCAATAATATTTAGACAAGGACTATTACTTAAAACAAATTGATAGTGACACACTTTTTATCTTAAAATTTCTTCTTCTAGAAACATATTGACAAAATGTATCTAAACTTTGTACACTTTCACTTTATATATCAATCAACTTACTACTATAGATAGTCTTAACTTATTTACAGTTTTGATCTTAATATGGTATATGACTCAGTATTCTATAGTGTTAAATAGTTCAACCAACTGGAGTCAAAGCTTTTAATTAATAATACAAAGACTTTTGTTTAATAGTTATTCTCCTTATGCATCACTTATTAAAGCACTAACCCAACTCATCAATTTCAATGTTTCAACAACTAATCTAATTTTTGTAATCATTTAGTCTAATTAATATAGGACATTTATTTTAGGTAAAATAATTAAAGCTAAAGATATAATCATTCATGTATAATACTATCTACTAAATCAATCTGACTATCACTGTATACCTATTGTCTCTTGCACTAGATGTAATCTTTTTGATCCTTCAGCTCTTATACTATACAAACAATAATAAAGACATAGTTTTTATATTATTAAACTACCTAAAAGCATATTATTAAATATTTAAAGTTTTTCATAAACCTCATGATGGCTGGTAATATAGTCTCTTTCACATAATGTTGTAAGAAGTTGTACTATCAAAATTGACCTCTTTTTATTAATATCTAACTAAACCTTTGCCTAATTTATTTATTCTTCCTTTTGATTAATTATCTATTAATAGATTAGATTATCTTAAAATTCAATTTACTAATGCTAATTTCCTTTAATTTTATACTAATGATTCCCTTACATTTTTAGGATCTTTTAACTGTTAGATGAAATTCATATGATTACAGACCGATCAGAATTGGCCTTCACTTTCCTTTAATATTACACTTGTTTTATATTCACCTTTCTCTATATTAGTAGAAATAGTTGCTATTCTTGCTACTGTTTATACCTCACCTCCTAATGCCAATATTGAAATCTGTACTGATTCATAAGCTGCGATTGCATTATATCACAAAATCATTATACTTTATAAAGTATCTCCTTCTCTAAATTCTATAATTAAACTTTCTTACTTTCATATTTAGATGATAATGTTGCATCTTATTGTCACACATAATACTAAATTAACGCTCACTAAAGTCAAAGCTCATAAAAATGACCAATTTAACAATCAAATTGACATTTTGACAAAACAACTTACTGGTGCTTTTCTAAGCATTAATAATAATCATCTTGACCTTAAATATTTTATATATTATAATAATACACTAATTATAATCCCTTCTTGCTTATTTATCAAACACTTGCAATAAGCCTCTTAGACTGAAGCTTTTCTAACTCTTCTATAACTTACTAAATATAGCAATTTTCACATTTATTGGAAAACTTTATTTTATGTTCTTAATAACTCAGAAAATACTAGAGTTATATCATTTGACGCATGCAAAAGAAAACAATTCAAACTCAAATTGATTTTACAATTATTCCTCACTTTTAAAGTCATAAATGCTTAATATCCACAGATTTATACTTCAAATAATTATTTCCACTATCACTTAATTATTAAAGACTTTGATTATATTTAAATTTATTCTAACAATACAACTCTTCTTATCAATATCATTCAGAAACACAAACAGTCGTTCATGTCTCATCTAAAAGATCTCAATAAACTCAATAATGACATACTAATAGACTATATGAATCAGTCTTCAATATAGAATTGTAGCATAATAAATAATAATTTATGTTTTCAAAGAGATCATTTCTTTATCTTTCTCTTTCTTAATCAATACTATTATAAATAACAAATAACTTATCCTTGATTTATTATCATCCCTATTTGATAAAATATTCTCTTTTGTTCATAATATATGGTTGGAAAAATGTGAATTATTACAATTTTGGAAACTTTTAAACAATATTAAAGATGATTTTACTATAGCTTGAGTATCCTCTAGTTTTTCACGTATATCACAAATACCTCTAATTAATTCTGTTTCCTTTACAGCAGCTATTGCTTATGGTACTTACTGGTTAAATTTCTAATACAACAGTAATCACGCCTTTCCTTCTGGATATTTGATATCTATATCTTAGTTTAATTTAGTTTTCTTTTCTTTTCTAATATATAGTTTAATTCAATAAAGTGTAAAGTTGGTATTGATAAAGTAGTTTAGTTTACTAAATTGGTTAAAGATGGTGCTGCAACTAGTTGCAACTATGTGATACTTATTTGTCACCGGTTGTAACTAGTTGCAACTCAATTTTTATTAATGTTGCAACTAGTTGCAACCCTGTAATGCTTGTTTGTCACCAGTTGCAACCAGTTGCAGTGCCATCTTTAAGATTGGTTATAGATATTTTTGTATTTTCTATTTTATTTTGATTTTTTTGTAAATTTATAAATATTAATAAAGATATACGAGACTGTCAC